ATTTTATAAAATTAATAGTTTAATTTTACAATCATTCTTTAAACCATCGATTGTATAATATAAGATTAGATCTGTTTGTGTTTACAGTTGTCCGATTAAAATAAAATAATTTTTTTTATTAAATCACATTTCATGGTTGGTAAATACAGTATATCTAATGGCAAGGGCAATTCTTGTTATTTTTCGCCTTTATGTATATTTTGTTCTAAATATATATTTTTTTAAAATCACATAACTTGAGTTTTATAAATTCATTTTTATCAAAATTAATATCTATGAATTTGTGTTTTTGAGATATTTAAAAAAAAATTCAATATTGAATATTAAATTTTAAAAAAAAGAATAGATTAATTGTTTGTCAATCAAAATAACAAAACAGTTTTTTTTTTTTTTTTTTTTTTTTTTTTTTAAAAAAACAAAACAAAACAAAAACAAAACCATTTGAAACCGCCTTTGACAATTTTAGATGGATAGATCACAAAAAAAATACATGAATAAAAAAAACTCTTCCAAAATTGACTATTACGTGCAATGTTATGAACGGTTGAATTTAACACAATAAACAATTTTTTTTATATTTTTTTTACAACTGTAGGTACCTATCTGTCTAAATTATTTGAACCTATCTATTCAAATTATTTTAATCTGTTTGTCTTCATATTTGAACCTAGATGTCTAAATTATTTAAATTATTGCCAATATTTTTATCTACATGTCCAAATTATTTTAACATATTTGTCTCCATATTTGAATTTATCTATCTAAACTATTTTATGTATTTGTTCCACATTTGAATCTATCTGTCTAAATTATTTTAATCAATCGGTTCCTGCATTTTTAATTATCCCAAATTATTTTAAGCTATTTGTACAAAACTTTTTATCTATCTGTCTGATTATTTTAACTGGTTTATCCCCATATTTGAACTTGACTAAATCATTTGTAAATTAATTTTTGGACAAATAGGTAAAAATATGTTTAAAGATAAATTACGATAATTTAGACACATAGGTCAAAATATTTACACAAATAGGTTAAAATAATAGAATAGAAATCTAAAATATTACAATACATAGGTTAAAATAATTTGGGCAAACAGATACGTGAAATTGTAAAAGAAAATTGTTTATGATATTAAAACTTCAACATGTAACTTTGTGATCGCTGATCCATTTTGGACGATTTTATTTTCCTGATTCTATATATTTTTGGAGATCTATCCATCTAAAATTGTCAAAATCGTTCATTTTTTTTTTAATTTTACATTTAATATTGATCTTATTTCAAAGATTTTGAAAGATGAATACACATATATCAATTTTATTAAAAATAGATTTGTAAAACTTTAAGGCCTCGTTTATTAACATTTTTAGTTTTCAGCTTAAAAAAAATAAAAATCATGTCTTTGTTTATTTTTGTCAAAAACGAAAACAAAAAACTTGTTTGGTGTACAAAATATTTTTAAATCAAGTAAAAATAAAAACAGAGAAATATATTTGATGAATTGCTAGATTTGGTGGCCATAGATGGAGAATAGATAAATATGATGACTGATAGTGGCCGGTAGCAGAAGGTGTTCGCCGAAGTTAGTAGTTGGATGTCAGAGGACATGATGTAGCCAGAAGAACAACAAAAGGTAGCCGTAGATCACGACGATAACTGCCCACTGGTCGAGGAGTCGCTGGAGGTTGGTCAGAGTTCGCCACCCGCAGGCGATGGAAAATGTGTCCTTATAGTCTTAAAAGTTTAGCTCTTGGAGTGATGTCAAACAAGTTTTGCAATTGAATTTATATGACATGTGTGCCCTAAAAAATAATCACAGTAAAATATATAAATAAATACATATAATGAAAATAAATAAATAATAATACTAGGAAAATCCTATTGTCCCCAAAAAATTCTAGAATTTCCTGGCTATTGTGATTATATTATGGAGATTAAATAGATGTTGTGTGGGTCCAAATATGAAATGAATACGAGTCATAGATTAATATTTTTGAATAAATTTGAAATAAAAATTCTGGAATTGTAGGCTAGTCATAATAATATATGAGGTTTAAAATCACAAATTGGAAGGGATCCTGCCTACAAGCACTACAACAAAAACATACTTTAGTGGCACTACACTAGTGGCATATTTTTAGAAAATGCCACAAAAAATGATATTTAGTGGCACGTTTTTGAAAAATGCCACAAAACGACAAACATAAAAGGCTCTAGTGACATTTCAATGAACAAGTGTCACAAAACTACAACAAAAACATACTTTAGTGGCACTACACTAGTGGCATATTTTTAGAAAATGCCACAAAAATGATATTTAGTGGCACGTTTTTTAAAAATGCCACAAAACGACAAACATAAAAGGCTCTAGTGGCATTTCAATGAACAAGTGTCACAACACTACAGCAAAAACATATTTTAGTGACACCATACTAGTGGCATGTTCTTAAAAAATGTCACAAAAAGAATATTTGGTGGCATTTTTTAGAAAAATGTCATAGAGCCACAAACATACAAGGCTCTAGTGGCATTTCAATTAAAAAAAGTGTCACTTCACTACAACAAAAATGTCACTACAACAAATTTACACTTTAGTGACACTACACTAGTAGCATGTTTTTAGAAAATGCCACAAAAATAAAAATTGGTATTAAATGTTTTAGAAAAATGCCATAGAACCACAAAACATATAAAGCTCTAGTGTTATTTCAATACAGAAATGTCACATCAATTTTATGACATTTTATAAAATAATGACACAAAAAATTATGTTCGTGACATTTACCAACAGATGCCACTAAACTTTAGTTGCAATGGCATTTTTTAAAAAATGTCAGGACACTAGATTCGTGCAAATTACTTTTTATGGCACTTAGGTGAAAAGTGTCATAAACAAATATTTTATAGCATTTTGAGAAATGCCACTAAGCCAAAAACTTTCCAAGCTTATAATGACATTTTTGAAAAAACAAAAAATGCCAATATATTTTTAAAATTTTTAAAATGCAGTAAATGATTAAAAATAAATGAATTAAACTCAATATACACTACAGGAAAAAGCATATTCGGCGGCTAAATTTCCTGACCAATTGGTCGCTGAAAGTATAGCTTTCAGTGACCAAAACAGCATTAGTTACCAAAAGTAAAGCTTTTTGGCGACTAAACAATTTTAGGAGCCAAAAGTCTACAATTGGTGACTAAAACTAAGTTTGGTCGCTGATTATATGGGTTTTAGTGACTAAAAAATTTTTAGTAGCCCAAAGTAAAGCTTTTTGGCGACTAAAAAAATTTAGTAGCCAAAAGTCTACAATTGGCGATTAAAAATAAGTTTGGTCGCTGATTATATGGGTTTTACAGACTAAAAAAATTTTAGTAGCCAAAAGTAAAGCTTTTTGGTGACAAAAAAAATTTTGGTAGCCAAAAGTCTATAATTGGCGACTAAAAAATAAGTTTAGTCGCCAAAAGTGGTCATTTTTAACGCGGGAGAACTAAAATCCTAAGGCGGGAATAAAATTTTTTGGTGACCAAAATTTTGGTAGCTAAAAGTACATCTTCGGCAACCAAATCCGATTTTGGTCAACAAAAGTTAAGTTTTTTAGCAACTAAAAAACAATTAGTAGCCAAAAGTATAGAATTGGCGACTAAAAAATATTTTTAGTCGCCAAAATTGGTCTTTTTTTTTATTTTGGTAGTAAATAATTTATTTTACATAAATTATGTTCAATAAAATAATTATGTTTATACATATACTTTTATATTAATATGGATGTATGTACTATATAAATAATATATGTTGCATATATAATCATGTGATGGTATAGAGTTGTAGTGGGAAGAGTGTGGGGTATAAGGTTTATGGTGTGGAAGGTTGGCGGTTCGAGTCTCCGCAAGAGCGGATCAATTGTTCTACAACAAATTATCGTCATGAATGACACTTGATAACGTCACGAATAGTGCCTACCATGACATTAAAGTGTCACTGAAAGGTTTTAGTCTTGATGGTGTAATGACACTTGCAAGTGTCACTAAATCTTTTTTTAATGGTGCTTGATAGTGCCACAAATAATATCTACCATGACATTAAAATGTCATTGAAAGTTTTCAACCATGATGGTGCAGTGGCACTTGCAAGTATCTACTGTGGCACTCGTATCTACCGTGGTACCGATAGAAGTGGCACTTGTTCAAAATGCCACAAGACCAAAAAATGTTATTAGAAGAATAGTTTTGTGGCACTTTCAAATGTCATTAAATTAAGAAAATACTGTAGTGAAGCGAGATAAATGTCCATCCTGCCAAATATCTATCCACATTTATAATCCAAAAACTGGGTAAAGGCAAATTCTATTATTTCAGTGATTTCAAATTGGTAGGTGTTATACAATTGTACCTGGTGTACCGTAGCTCTACCCATCAATGTAATGTAATAGTTACATTTCTTTCTCTTTTGGTTTGAATGTGTAGTACTTTGCAATGGGCGGCAACGGCAATGGAAAACGCAAAAAGCCACACGATGAAGAATATAATGTGAGTCCGTTTGTAAGAAACATAGAGCAATGCGATGAAACAGAATATCCAGTGAATCCGTTTCTAACAAAAACCGAGCAACGCGATGAATGGATAGTTTTGATTAAAGAAATGTTGGAAGAAGTGAAAAGGCCTTCGAAATTGAGTATCTATAAAGTTCCCAATAAACTGGTAAAAATCAAGGAAGATGCCTATAAACCTAGAATTGTCTCCATTGGACCTTTTCATCATCACAACAAAGAGTTGCTAGCTTTTGAAGAGCACAAACGGCGATACATGGTTCATCTTCTTGCTCGAACATTGGAAGCTGAAGAAGTGCGCGATGAGTGTGCCTGTTAATGTAAATTGTAAATGTAAATAAACTGGTAAAAATCAAGGAAGATGCCTATAAACCTAGAATTGTCTCCATTGGACCTTTTCATCATCACAACAAAGAGTTGCTAGCTTTTGAAGAGCACAAACGGCGATACATGGTTCATCTTCTTGCTCGAACATTGGAAGCTGAAGAAGCTATCCGCGATGAGTGTGCCAATGCCATATTAGATTTGGTAGGAGAAGCTCGGAGATGCTATTCACAGTATATAGACTTGGACAAGTACAAACTAGCTATGATATTGCTAGTTGATGGCTGCTTCATACTTGAACTCTTTTTGAGGTACTCAGATATTGAGAACCAGGAGGAGACGGAGGAGGAGGATGCAGTTAACGACGACCCTGTTGTGCCCGGGGGCTCATCAATAGACCCCATTATTAATGATTCTCGGATTGTTGCAACTCTTCAACATGATTTGGCACTACTTGAGAACCAGATTCCCTTCTTTGTTTTGCTGACTCTGTTTGACCTTATAAATAAGTCTGTGACATTACCACACACACTTACTAAGTATGCTTTGCTTTTCTTTCAATCGGCTTTGGGATTTAGCGACGAGTCAGTTGCAAGTAAATCCTTGGACGTAACTGGTGACCATTTACTTCATATCTTGCATAATTTTTACGTCCCCAAAACATTTCACAGAGACCTTAAAAACTTGCACAAATCTCAACTCCGGATAAATGACAAAAACCATGATCTGTGACATTACCACACACACTTACTAAGTATGCTTTGCTTTTCTTTCAATCGGCTTTGGGATTTAGCGACGAGTCAGTTGCAAGTAAATCCTTGGACGTAACTGGTGACCATTTACTTCATATCTTGCATAATTTTTACGTCCCCAAAACATTTCACATAGGCCTTAAAACCTTGCACAAATCTCACCTCCGGATATATGGCTTGCAAATATATGGATTCACAGATTGTGCCACACAACTTTTGAAGACAGGAATTCAACTTCATGGCAACACCGAGGCCATCGCAGAAGAAAATTTCTTAGCCATAGAGTTCCATGATGGAGTGGTTAAAATGCCATCATTACGAATACACGAAGCTACAGAATCAATCTTTCGAAATCTGATTGCTTTTGAGCAATGCAACATCATTGGTACTTCTCATTACATTGCATCATATGCATTTCTTATGAGAAGTATCCTCCGTTCCTCGCGTGATGTTGACCTTCTTAAAGAAAAAAGGATCATAAAGGATATGAATAGTGGTGATGGTGGTGGTGAAGATCTTGCGATTTTCTTCAAATCACTGTGTGAGGGAGTTGTGTTAAAGGACTTCTATTTTTCCGATTTGTGCGAGATGGTAAACGAATACTACTCCTACCGCACGTCTTGGTTGCACTGGCGCAGACTTTTTTTGAACTGGCGAAGACTTAAAGCGATAACGAAGGACAAGTGGCGTGAATCTATGTCGGACTTGCATAAAAAATATTTCTCCAATATAGGGGCTACAATATCAATCACAACAGCCTTGCTTCTCATCTTCACCGGCATTCAAACTGTCTACGCTGTCATTTCCTATTATCATCATCATCTCTAAGTTCTACTCTGTTGATGCAAAACTATCCCGGCAGATTTGAGGATAAAAGAAACATCTTTAGCCTCATATTTGGTATAATAAGCTGCAATTTATTAATTCTGTAAAACATGTTTTCACTTTTGTGTTGTTCTGAGTCATAAATATGGTTTGTTGGTGTTTCGATTACCTTGTAATTTTTCCATTATATTTGCCAAGTGTATTTTCGGCTTCTTGGTCTTTGTAAGGTGTGTTTGGAAGTTGTCAATAAATCCATAAAAATATTCTTTGAAATATGAATTTTTAGTAATGAGATATGATTTATGAATTTCCATAATATAAATCATAAAATTGTTTCTATCATATCTCCATCAATATAATTATTTTTTATGGTTAAAATCTGGAGAGTCCTAATCTTTCTAATACCAAATTAGAGTTTTCAGTGTAACCACATGTTTCCCTCCTATAATCCTTCCTACATATCCTGCAATAAAACATTGAATTAGCAATTCAGTGGGCTATTTTAAATTTACACAATACACCCACTTTCCCAATAAATATTTGAATTTCTCTGTAAAAAAAAAAAAATATATCAAAGTCTTATTTGAAAAGTTAGCTATTTTAGTTGGTTATTTAACTTGGCTAAAAAAGTTCTATTTAAAAAGTTGATTGACTTTTTTTAATAATTAATTTGATGATTGTGAGAGAAAAAGTCAAATAATTATAAGTTAAATGTGATATTGGTTTATTTTAGGAAGTAGTTAAAAATTAATTTTTTGATTTTTTTTTCGTCTTTTTTTAAAAAAAAAAAAGTACAAAAAAGTTGAGACAAAGAGGCCATTGTATTCTTAATTATTTTAGCGTATTTTGCCTCGGTTTGGGAAGATGGGTTGGGTTGGATTTCGAGCTATTTTAGCTGCAAAAAGATAAAATAGGCTTTTTAGTCTAATAAGACAAAATATCATATCCAACCCATAATCATTAGTATATTATTTCTCTCACAAAAAGTCAAAAATTCAAAAAATCTTTTCCAAGTGAGATTTTTTAGCCCCAGACTAAAATAATCAAAAAGTTAAAAAGCCAAAAAACCAACCCACTTCCCAAACGACCAAATTCACTTCCCAAACAAGGCCATGTAATTGTGTCTTCACAAAAAAAAAAAAACAAAAACAAAAACAAAACAAAAAAACAAAAGACAAAAAATAAAGGGAAAAAAAAAAGAGAGAGAGAGAGAGAACACTCAAACGGTACCGTTTCACTAGGTTGATTCCCTATTTTTTTTTCCTTTACTAAAGTCATCTCCTTTTTTCGAATTTTTTTTATTTTTAATAATTTTTTAAAAAATTGTATCAATTTTTGTTTTTTACTTTTTCGATTAGTCTTGTATGGATGAATCTAAAAAGTAAGGCCATGCTTGGTTTGATTTTCAGAAACTTGTTACATAATTTTTTTAAAAAAAAAAAAACCCTAAAAATTAAATTGGTGAAAGATAAAAAAAATTAAAAATACTTTTTTTTATTTTTAATAATTTTTTAAAAAATTGTATCAATTTTTGTTTTTTACTTTTTCGATTAGTCTTGTATGGATGAATCTAAAAAGTAAGGCTATGCTTGGTTTGATTTTCAGAAACTTGTTACATAATTTTTTTTTAAAAAAAAAACCCTAAAAATTAAATTGGTGAAAGATAAAAAAATTAAAAATACTTACCATGTTATATAATTTTATCTTATGTGAGATTAGAAATAGTTTTTAAGAATTTAAAAATAGTTTTTGAAATTTATTTATATCAAATTATTTTTTATTTTTTCAAAAAAATTCTGTATTTTTTGATAAAATACAAATCGAACATGGCCTAATTTTTTTTTTAAATTCTCAAACAAAAATTAAAAAATCTAAAGTAAGGGAAAAAAAATTACTTTTTGCTTATTTTTCTCTTTCTGGGCTTTTTAGAAAAATATTTTAATTTTTTCGTTTCATCTCATCGAGCTGAATCTAAAAATTTAAATTTTCAAATTTTTTTTTAAAAGAAGTTCACTAAAAATAAACTAAAAAAAAGTTACTGAATAAACAAACTCTAAACAAAAGAATAGGGAAGAAAAAAAAAATAGTCAAGATATCATCGTTTTAAGTTACAGCAGAATTTGCTGTGCACTAGCAGTCTGGCACTCCCTCCCGACTTTAGTATCTGGTAAACCCATGTTGTGCATCTCCAACGGTTCATCTAATTTTTTACTAAATCTGAGTAAAAAAATGACCGTTTTCTCATTTTGATACAGAATGCTTCAATGGTTGATTTTCATCAAATCTGCTCCAAGGACAACCGGTTGGTCAACCGGCCGGTCGACTGGTAAGGCAAATTTATTTATTATTATTATTTTTTTGAACCTATCTATTTGAACTGTTTGAACCTTTTAGTGGTCGACCGGTTGGTCGACCGGTAAGGCAAAAATATTTTTTTTTTTGAATTCTTTGAACCTATCCATTTGAACTGTTTGAACCTTTTCGTGGTTGACCGGTTGGTCAACCGGCCAGGCAACCGGTTGGTTGACCGGTTCTTCTCCTCCAACGGTCACAAACAGTAATTTGCTGAAATCTGTATCCTGTTCTCAGTTTGATGATTTTTTTGTTCAATTCTCAATTTGATACCAGTTTGGTGAAACCATTAGAGCTTCAAAAAGTGACTTTTTCACCAAATTTCAAATTTGATGCCAGGTTTGGTGAACCGTTGGAGATGGTCTAAAGCCTGCTAATGTATATCCAAGTTATTATTAAAATAGGTAAACCTAAATCCTTTTTTTTTTTTTTTTTTTTTTTTTTTTTTTTTTTTTTGGGCTACGATATAGTTCTGAGTTTAGTACAGAGTAAACCCAAGTTGTTAATAAGGCGGCAAATGTCTTCCAAAATCATATGGGTAAAGGGATGGTAATGCAAACCCAAGTCTTTTTTTTCTTTTTTTATTTGAAAGGTATACCCAACTTATTTTCTTTCTTTCAATAACCACAGTTTTGCCTTGCTCTGTTTGTAGTACTTGCGGAATCAAATTTGTTGATGATGCTGCCATTGTGTCCCAAAATGATATTAGGTGAGGGCTGCTAATGTAAAACTAGTCATTTTCATATTTTTTTTCTTCCAACGGCCACCACAAAAAATTAAAGTTTTAGAAATTAAAATTTAAGGATAAAATTATTTTTTAAAAACCAAATATGTTTGTTGCAAAAAGTGTTGTCATTATATTTTTAGTAACAAAAATTGAATATTAGTGATAAATTATTATTCTTTTAGGACCAAATTTTTGTTTACAAAAAAAAAAAAAAAACCATTTTGAGACCAAATTATTTTATCCCTAAAACTGTATTTATTAGTGACATTTTTAAAATTTTGTCACTAAAAACGTTGGTTTTGACTTTTTAGGGCGACTTTTTAGAAACTATGTTTACGATGAAAAAAATTGATCCCTAAATGCTTTTTACAACAAAATTTTCACTTTTAGAGACCTAAAAATGTGGTCTCTAAAACTCTTATATGTTGTAGTGGGCTTCAATTTTGTCATAGCTTTTAACTTTAATTCAGATCCTTTTTAGTAATGTAAACATTAATGTTTTGAATGACAATGTGCCACCTCAAAAAAAGAGAGGAATTAAGAATATAGTTTAAAAAGATGTTGTTTTGGTTTCTTCATTCGAACTTGAGTAAAGACACCAAAACGATATCGGTTTTAATTTTCTTCTTTATTTTGAAGCATTACAAATTTCAATACAAGGAATGCACTATAGAAAATATAAAATCAAATTGTGTCGATGGCGTTGCGATTCTGCTGTGGCGTCAACAATCACTAATGATTCCTCGAAAGACAAGATAGGCCAGCCGTCGAGCTACAAATCTGATTGAAAAGCCGAATGAAACCCAGTCAGAGTGTAGAGAGGTTCAAGGTTAGAGGGGTGATTAGAGAAGCAAAACTATGTTAATGGACCAACAATAGTGGAAGTGGCTGGAGAATGAGTAACAACATTTGGGAGTTGGAGAGTGTGTAGCTGGGTGAGAATGAAGCAAGTAGCTCAAGAAGAAATGTATGGCAGTACCAAAATGGGCAACATCTCCGCCAAATTCTCAAAATTCCTTCTTTGAACCTTGGGAAATGGGTCCTATTTATAGACTTTTCCTTGATACCAAGAGGACACCAAGTAGCCAAATAGAGAGAGGACGTGTGTCCTAGAGGATCACATGGAATATTCTGCCTTGAGCCACCAGGCTGAAGGTACGACGTGTCCCTCTGCATGTACTGTGTACTGTCTGTTTGCCTCTGCAACTACTGTTTTTGAGCCTCAGCAAGTGTAGTTGCGATGAGAGTGTTTGACATTGTAACTCCCTTTTAAGCCTTAGCAAGTGCAGTTGCAACGGGAGTGTTTGCCACTGTTCTTGCCTTCTCAGCTCGAACCTTAACAAGTGCACTTGCAGTGGTAAACCTTGCTGTTGCACTTGCCTTCTTAGTTCTACTTGGCCAGTACATGCTCACCACAGCGAAGCCTCCATCCTTAGCCACCTAACCATAAACTCCCTAGGTTCCCAGGGTGAAGGCCATAGCCAAGCCTGCTATTAGCCATGTTGTGCCTTAGTACTAAACCCAAAGGGGGCTTCCTTAGTCCTGTCTGTGCAACTAAAGCAGGTCTATGACCTGGGTAATGGAAAAGGAGTCCCTTATGCTCCGGCTATCTTGCTCCCGTCTTTGCGAGATTGTCGCGGTAAACTGGTATCTTTAGGCCTTCTATCAGCTCTAACCAGTAAATCTTGGGGCTTGTTATCGGCGCCAAGTTAAATGAACTTTGGGGCTTGCTATCAGCCTTAGGCTAGTAATGCCTTGGGGCCTGCTATCAGCGACAAGCATTAGCCTCTACTTGCAGAGGAAAGCCTCTCTCAAAGGCTGCTATCACATTGGCAGGATATTCCCTCTGCAACCTAGTTACTGCGGTAACCATTTCCCACGATGAGTTCAAACGATACGATTGACAATATTAGAGATGGCGGCGCCGACAGAATGTCTCTGCAACTTGGGCGCTGTAAGTATTGCCTCTATAACTTAGTTGCTTCGGTTTTCTCTTTCCATCAGTAACTTTAGATGGCTGTGGTACTGACATTACTTGAGATGGCGGTGGCACCGACGTTACTCGTAATGGCGGCACTGGGACGAAGTGCCTCTGCAACTTGGCCGTCGCAAGTGTTGCCTTTGCAACTTAGTTGCGTCATCTTTTTCTTTCCCTCAACAACTTCGGATGGCGGCGGAACCGAAGATATTAGGAATGGCAGCGTTGAGGTAATGTGCCTTAGCACCTTTCCCACTGCATGTGTTATCTCTGTAACTTGACCGTTGCATGTGTAGCCTTTGCAACTTGACTTAGACATTTTCCTTCATGGAGTCCTTTTGGACCCTTGACGGGTTGGACCTGCTTCGGCCCTCTGTTGGCCCACTTCTTTTGGGCTTTAGCCCATGCTCATTTTTCATTCCTGGTCGCCTCTTTGGGGTGACCTCAGTACTTAGGCCCATACTTAATTTGGGGCTTAATTTCTTACCCTCTACACAGAGTAAGAGGCCTTTGATGTACTAGTACCTGCCACTGAAACATCATGAAGGATTCAATGAATGTCTTAAGAAAGTTGTCAATAACCTCTATGCCTAGGATAGGTTTAATGCACTCGAGCTTTGGATCTACGTCCCACACTCCGCCCTTAGGCTTGTAACGACAGCAAGAGTGTTGGATCTTTTGTTCAGTTTTTCTCCTGGGGCAGCTTGGGAACGAGGCATCAACCCAAGGGACGAGAAAAGAAAGAACACTACTTGACTGGATCCCAGGTCAACGACCCATGGTAGAGAAGGGAAATTAGAGTTTTGGGAGATAGGGTTAGATGTTAGCTTGTAAATAGAATAGAATATTATTCAAAGAGTATTGAATAATTTCTCCTTAGTGATTGAGTATTACGAATTTCAATACAAGGAATGCATTACAATTTATTTATTTTTATTTTTTTTAGTAATTTTTTTTAAAATTATATCAAAATTTTTTAGCTTTTCGGTTCGTCTTGTATGGATGAATCTAAAAAGTAAGGCTATGCTTGTTTTGATTTTCAAAAACTTGTTGCATAATTTTTTTGGTTTTTACAAGAAAAACTAAAATTTAAATTGGTGAAAGAAATTTAAAAAAAAAATTACAAATACGTGTCATGCTATATAATTTTGTCCTTTGTGAGATTAGAAATAATTTTTAAAAATTAAGAAATATTTTTTTGATATGTATTTTTATCAATTTTTTTATTTTTCAAAAAAATTCTGAATTTTTTTTTGATAAAATACAAATCAAACATGGCCTATTTTTTTTTTTTCAAACAAAAATTGAAAAATCTACAATAAGAAAAAAAAAAGTTTATTGCTTTTTGCTTATTTTTCTCTTTTCTAGACTTTTTTTTTAAAAATATTTTAATTTTTTGGGTCATCTCATTGAGTTGAATCTAGAAATCTAAAATTTTTTGAAAAATTTTAAAAGAAATTCACTAAAAACAAAAATAAACTTAAAAAAAAAAGTTACTGAATAAACAAACTCCAAACAAAATAATAGGGAAGAAAAAAAATAGTCAAAACATCATCATTTTATGTCACACTAGAACCTGCTGTGCATAATGCATTGGCATCCCCTCGTGACTTTAATTTTTGGATTAACGAAATGGAGAGAGACCAACAGGGAGGAGTGAAGTTTCGAGGATCAGCAAGCAGAGATGAAGACCACCGAGGGTGGTGGCCCAGTGGTGAAGGCATTGCCTTCCTACAGCCATGGGTCAAGTTCGACTCCTGGGGGCGCGAAAATCCTGGATTTTCCAGGGGCTCTTTCCTAAGACCTCGCGCTGTACTCCGATCGCACTTGTCCATGGCTGGAGCGGTTGATGAGCTCCACTGGTGCCTTGGTGGTAGGTCCCTTCCTATGGGTTGGGTTAAACTAGGCCGGCAACCGGTTACCCCGGGCCTGGGCCTGCGGAGGTCGTGATGCCCCCACAGAACCTTCTTTTTTTGTGTTAAAAAAAAAAAAAAAGAAGCAAGTAGAGATGAAGGAGGCTAGATTCCAATTTTTCATCAGAAGCATAGGAGGAGCAGGGGCTATCTGAGTTTACAAACAATCTTTGTGGATAATCTGCCAGAGTCCATGGATCCGAAAGGGCTATATACCTTATTCACAAAGTTTGGTGTGGTCAAAGATGTGTTTATTCCATCCAAAAAAGAAGAAAAGCAAAAAGATCCAGGTTTGGGTTTGTTCGTTATGAATGTCCAGTCGCAGCAAAGGTTGATATCCGGAAGGCAAATGGAGTTTGGTGCGGAAACAGATCCCTTGTAGTGAAGACTGTTGAGTTCAGAAGAAAGCAGAGTGGTGCAATTCAAAATACAAATAACCAAAAGTTGCAAGTAAAAGGTAATGATGGGGGCATGGACTGGGTGAATATAAGACCATCCTTTGCAGAAGTGGTGAGAGGTGGACAACAACTTAGAGACCCTGTCAAAGTAGTTATAGCTGAGGAATATGGTAATGGTTGGCTTCACCAAAGTGTTATAGTTACTCTTAAGAAACACTGTCATTTTTCAGACTTTAAAAAAGAGTGTGTTAAAAGAGATCTGCAGAATGTACAAGTTCGAGAAGGTGGAGGCAGAGTAGCAATTTTGTCTTTCGAATCAATTGAGGCATTAAGGAATCGGAGGGAGGTACTTGGGGACTGGATTGACGGATGGTGTGATGCGATGGTAGAATGGAGGAATGGACTAGTTTTAGATCAAGAGAGGGAGGTATGGCTTCGATGTTATGGCATACCTCTTAATCGTTGAAATATCACAAACTTTAGAAAAATTGGGGAAGTATGGGGAGAAGTGTTAAAGGTTGAAGTGAACACCATGTCTATGTCAACCTTGGCTTGTGGTGGTAAACTAAGAATATTGACGAATAATATGGAGTTAATAATTCGAGTATCAAGTTGATGAATAAAGGCACTGTAAGCACAATTAGGGTGATTCAAGAGTTGTGTTCATGCCATGAACAACATAAGGAGGTTGACTCATCAAATTATCAGTTCAGTGTAGCAGAGAAGGAAGATGAGAAAGGTGAAGAGGATGATGAGGTGGATGAATCAAAGGCTGAAGTGGCAGGTAATGAGGACGTGGCTTATGATCAATGGGCTGGAAACAACATGGCTCGAGAGGGCAACAACAGCAATTTAGCTGCTGTATCAGTAGTAAATGGCACATGCACTGTTGCGGAAGAACCAAGAAAAGTTGGTGCTGGTATGGGAAATGAAGAAGGCGTGCCCAGGGTAATAATTCAGAGCATTACAGGGGGGAAGTCCAAGGGATACAAAGTGTGAGCCAGTCCTGGGCTTTATGAAAAGTATAAGCAGTCATGATGTTATTTGTCCTAGTATTAATCTTAATGTGGTGTTGGACCAAGTCCAGTCCAAAGGATTACTTGTGGGGCTGAATCAAGGTAGGCTTGACTGGTATGGAGAGGATGTCCAAAATACTAACTACCAAACAGTAGCTCAGCCATCTTTAGAGGTAGTCTCAGGCCCTGTGGAAACTTCAGGGCAACCAAATCAAAAAAGAACAGAGTCAAAGCCAAAAAGGGTGATTTTTAAAAGTCAAGTTCAACATATTAGAAAGAAGGGTGAAGATAATCTGAGTAGCATGGCGAAAAGAAGAAGAAGATTGGGGCAAAACAAAGTGTGGTCGAAGCATGGATTGTATAGAGGAGCTATTTTTAAGGCTGCTGTTGAGGCTATCTCATCATCTTTATCTCAAAATAGAAATGATAGCAGGAGTAATTATTTAAGAAAAGAAGCAATAGCTATAATACAGATTGGGAAAACTGTGGGGGTTGATTTCGAAGGAAAGGAAAATGAGGTGCTTGAAAAAATTATCACAATGGAACAGAATGATTTGGCCCAAGTTTCAAAGAGGAAGGAAGGAGTGGGTGCTTGAAGAAGCATCTTAGGAGAAAAAGGGGTTCTAATAATTTTAATGAAGATAGTGTCTTGGAATATTAGAGGGTTGGGAAGGTTGGAGAAGAGGTGGAAAGTAAAAGAGTTATTAAGGCAGAAAAATGTAGACATGGTCCTATTCCAAGAAACAAAATGATCTGAGATTTCAGAGCAGTTTGTTAAAACTCTTTGGCCTGAAGATTTGGTTGAATTTATGGAAGTGGGTGCTGATGGCAATGTTGGAGGAATGCTATGTATGTGGAAACCTGAGGTTTTTGAGCTGAGTGGGTGCTGCAGTAACAAGAATTACATCATCCTATCAGGTAAAATTCATCATGTAATTGATTGTGTGATTATTAATGTTTATGCTCCTAATGATAGAATTATGAGAAGGAAACTTTGGGAAACTTTGCGCAATCTTCAACCTAAGTTTCCTAAACGTTGGTGCATTGGGGGAGATTTTAATGAAGTTAGAACAGTGGCTGAAAGGAAAGGGTGTCTTAGAAGAGATGGGGGGATGATAGAGTTTGACGAATTTATTAATAATTTGGAATTAATAGATGTTCCAATGATTGTGAGAAAGTATACATGGTGGAATTCTTAGGAAGGTGAGAGGTGGAGTAGACTGGACAGATTCTTAGTCAGTCCAGAATGGTTAGAACAGTTTAGCTTTAAATTGTGGGGTTTGTCAAGGTCGGTGTCAGACCAGTGCCCAATAATTTTAATGGAAGATGATAGAGATTGGGGTCCGAAGCCATTTAGGTTCCTAAATGCTTGGGTCCTTCTCCCCACTTTCATGAGCAAGGTAAAATCGGTATGGGAGAACACTCATGTAGATGGATGGGCTAGATATAGGTTAAAGATCAAATTGAAGTCCTTTAAAGAAAGATTGAAAGTTTGGAACAAGGATGTGTTTGGGAATGTTGAATGCAAACTCAAAGAAGCTGAGGATGCATTGCATGAATTGGACTTGGCTGCTGACGTTAGACCCTTGCAAGATCATGAAGTATTAAGTAGAAGAGTGATCAAAGGAGAGATATGGAAGCTGAAAAAAATGAAGGATTGGGTATGGATGCAGAAATCAAGGGTAACTTGGGCTCTAAAAGGTGACAGGAATACTAGGTATTTCCATGTTATGGCTACACATCGTCAGAGTAGGAACCTACTAGATTCCATCACTATCAAAGGTAACATCTTTAACAAACCAGAAGATATGAAAAAAGAAATTGCAAGGCATTTTGGTGAGGCATTTGCTAAGAGCTGGAAAATTAGAACTAAGATAGGTGGTGTTTTTAAAACCATTGCACCCTCTTAGGTTGATTTGCTTGTGCAGGATTTTTCTGAATCAGAATTACATGATACAGTCAGAGAGTGTGATGGGAATAAGGCGCCAGGGCCAGATGGATCTAATTTGATTTGTATTCAAAAGGGATGGAGGTTCATGAAAGATGATATATTGAAGTTTATGGCTGAGTTCCATGAGCATGGTAGGTTGGTGAAGGGACTGAACTGCTTTTTTGTAACATTAATTCCCAAGAAGGAAAATCCAACTAGCATCCAAGACTTTAGACCTATAAGTCTCATTAACTCCATTTATAAGATCCTCTCAAAAGTCCTAGCCTGCAGATTAAAGAAGGTGCTTCCTAGTATCATTAGCCCAACCCAATCTGCATTTTTGAGTGGAAGGAATATAGTTGATGGGATATTAGTTGCAAATGAGGTGGTGGATTAGTGGAAAAGATCCAACAGAAGTGGGCTAATACTCAAACTCGATTTTGAAAAGGCCTATGACACAGTAAATTAGGGATACTTGTTTGATATGTTGAGGAAGTTTGGGTTTAAAACAAAATGAGTGGAATGAATGAGGACTTGCTTAATGTCAACTATAATTTCAATTCTTGTTTATGGCTCCTCATCTGAGGAAGTGGTTCCCCAAAAAGGCTTGAGGCAAGGGGATCCAATCTCACCATTTTTGTTCATCATAACAGTTGAAGGTCTTGACATATTATTATCAAGAGCTAAAGAACTTGGACTGATAAGAGGGGTCAATATTGGATCTGAAGGTTTGAATTTATCACATCTACAATTTGTTGATGACACAATCTTATTTTGTGAGGCTGATTGGGTGGAGGTTACAAATGTGAAGAGGATTCTAAGATGCTTTGAAGTCGTGTTTGGACTTAAGATTAACTATCACAAAAGTGCTATCAGTGGAGTGGGAATTGAAGAGGAGTCTGTTGTCGAATTTGCCTCTAGATTAAATTGCCCATGCCAAAAGCTCCCCTTCAAGTACTTAGGTTTGCCCTTAGAGGTTAATCCTAGAAGAAAGCAAATTTGGAAACCTGTGGTGGATAAGTTCAAAAATAAATTACCTGGCTGGAAAAAAAGAATGCTCTCTTTTGCTGGTAGGGTGACATTAATTAAATCAATACTGTAAAAATATTGAAGTATATTGTAAAAATATTGAAGTATATTATTGATTGATGTATTACAAGATTGATTAATTACAATTCCTATACAATCTATATATAGAAGAAAATGTGGTAGTAGGTGTAGTGGAGGTGATAGTGGGTTAGGTGAAGTGGAGTGTGTGGTGAAGTGGAGGTAGGTGAAGTGGAGTGTGTAGTGGAGTAGGTGAAGGTAAAGATGGGAAATTCTAACAAGCATGTATTTTTCTTCTGAATTCTGCGCCATCATAAGTCCTGCCTCAGCAAAGGGGGAACACTGGCTATTCTGTATCAGC